CGGATCAAAATGCCAAGTGAAAAAGCCATTAGCCAAACAATGGTTTTGGCGGTTCGCTTGGTCAAAAAAGCCAAAGTCAGTCAAAGATGCCAAAAGCTATCCCAAATGCTGTTTTCCAAACACGGCCAAAGACTTGAACTGCTTGAAACCTTTAAATTACCTACTATCTTCATGCAACTTGACACCTTTAGGCTGCTTGGTTCCTTGTTTACTCAAAAAATGTGTAGAGATAAAATCCATATTCTTTCTAGATTTTGACAGTATTTTTAATGTCCATGAGGCATACCAAACCACACAGATTGCTTAGGCAATATTGACCTAATTTCTTTCAAATTGTTTGTAACTTTTTTATGGGGTGCATATTTTTGGCTGCAATGGATTATTCTTATTATTGTTCTGCATTTTTATGCTCTATTGTGACAGAAAACTTTCACTGTAACATTGAACCTGATGGGAGGGTAGATATAAGGGGTATTACATTGACTGGAGTGCGAGCCATCTACAAACATAACATGGTGTTTAAGATGAACGCTTCGAACCTATGCCCACCTGGAAAGTTCACCATTTCATTTCAGCTTCCTGGGCCCACTGGAAATCAATTGACAACATCATTTGGATCTGATGGAATTTTAGAAGCAACTGTGGAGAAAAAACAACATAACAATTCTTGATTGAGGCAAACTTGTCCATCGGATTGAAAAGCTTTTCTGTAGGTATGGTTGCTTGTAAAATAATGCTTCATATGCTGATATGCTTTATAGTTGCTCTTACCATGGGGTCACGAAATCACTATTTCTTTCTTTCATGCTTTGAATTTGTACTTTAAGTGATAGTTCACTTTGGTTATAATGTTCTATTTACTAATTTAGATAGATTTTAAGTCATTATCATATGCATAATTTATTGTTATAATAGTATGAATTATTAGAAGTAGCATTCTCTCAATATTTTATTTTTAATATTGTTGAAAAAATTTCGAGTAGGGGCAAGGTCTGCGTACACACACCCTCTCCAGGCCCTACTGTTGTGGGATTCAACTGGGTTGTTGTTGTTGTTGAAAAAATTTGCGGGTAGTCAATCTCATGGTTGCAGGTGTTATAAACTTAATCCTAGTTTAGAATTACACTTGCACCCACCACTTTGATTAGAGCTAGTTTTCTAAAGAAGACAATCATTTACTAAATCTAATAAAGACTTTAATTAACTATTCACTGAGTAGAGCCTCTCCACCTCATTTTCATGAGTGAGATTTTTTTAGGTTTGTATGGATTGGTTTACTCCCTGTCTTAATTCTTTTTCTCATTTTGATTTGACACCTTTATGAAAAATGAAATTTCTGTGGTTCTTGGTTTGTATAAGAATAAAGAGAAACAATATCAACCACATATTTCCTCTAAAAGAATCATAAATAGAGTTTTAAGACAATTTAATAAGGGAAACGAGAAGATAAATTAAAGCTAATGGGTTTTATTTACTCCATAATTATGTATTAAAACAAAAACACATTAATCTGTTGGGTTTTTTTAATCCAATCCATTATCGTTTTTCATTCACTGCATTCAAAATCTTATTGCATCTAAGTTAAGGATATAGGCGAAGTGAGCCAAGCATACACAAATGTCAATGATTAGTGATGCTAAACACTATTATTGTGTGTTTCTTTCCTGGATTATTGATAATGCAGAGTTTGGTAGCATTTTGCATTTTTTTCTTCTGAAAACTAGTTTTGTTTTGTTGTGTTTTCAGCTTCAGCAATTAGGAAGTGAAGGTTTGGTGCTAGATCTTGGAGAGAAAAGCTGTTTGTGTGCTGTCTTTCTTCCTAGTATGATTCTATTGACCTTAACATGTTTGTAACAATATGTTTGTAACGTTAATGGCCGCGATGCTGCTAGGTTATTGATTTGAAGGATGCTATTCACATTGTTGTAGGAACCGATGTAGATTATCGGGAACATATGTGAGCCATCGACTTCTTGAACATGGAAGGCAATGTCTATTAGTTTTCGCTTTGGACAATTAATTAATGATATTAGTTCTTACATTAACAATTGATTTTTGTTTGTTTTGCGAGAATCATCTCCAACACTTCTTTTAAGTGCTACCTCTCTTTTGTGTTCTTTTTAGTTTATTATTGAGGCCCTTGAGCTTACAAATTTCTTATCTTGAAGCGTAATGCGCCTACAATTATACCACTTGATTGTTCACTTGCTGCTCAAATGGAGCAAATTTCCTCTATTGCACACCAGGTGCTATAAAAGGACAGTTAGTCCCAGTTAGTTCCTAGTGTTAAAGACAAAGACCCAAGAAACTTGGCAAGGTTAATTCATCAACCATATTGTACTTATTCCTTAACACTTTAAAGGATGAAAGAAAATTTCAGTGTGTGGATGGAGGGAAGTTGGTGGGAGGGGAGGTGAATTAAAAGAGATGAGGGGATTTTTCTTTGTTTTGGGAGTAAATGAGGGGCAAGGGACTTGAAGGGATGCTATCCATTCTTTCAAATCTTTTATTTCCAATCCCTCTAATTTGGGGTAAAATTGAGGGAAGAGAAAGTGATCCCTTCATAAAATTTTAAAAGATCATCCTCTCTTACCTTTTGTATTGCTCTCTTCGTCCCAATTTATATTGCCTGTTTTGGTTTACAATGTTTGATTGAAATTATTTTCAAATCATTTTATATGATAAACAGTTTAGAATTAAAAAATAAAAATTACATATTAAAATATTATATTAAAAGATCTTACAAAACTAGTGGTGACATGATTATTTTATTTTATCAAATGACTAACGAAAAAGAGAAAGAAAGTGAATTAAGTTTGATTCTATGAATTGTAAATATATCATTTAATTTGAGACAGATGGAGACTAGATTCTGTGCTCATCCGAACAGGCAAAAGATTATCTTAATATTATATATCTATATGTTGGAAAAATGAACATATATGAAATTAATTACCAAACACTTCAAATTCAAAGCTATTCTTCCCATGCTATTTGTGACGCACCGTTCAAGTTTGCCTAAAAATCGGCAGAGGCTCGATACCCAGACCCGATCCAATCCGTTAGAAGATGTCCAGATCCGTCTGAAGGACTATCCAGAGATATCTGCCATAGTCTAGAAGACTAAAGAATTCTCTAGAAAGATGGGGGACTTGCTAGAGATGCTTGGAAGGTTCTGGAACATTATGGAATAGTGTAGAGATATCATGTAGCCTTGTAAATATCTTAGATATTTGTAGAGTATTCTAGATACTCGATTATAACCGTTAGATCAAGTAGATCTTAGCCGTCCATTGGGGAGGTGGAGAAGTATAAATACCTCTCCCCCTCATTCATTTCACTTACTCAAGAAGTGAGAAGCATTGTAAGCTTTAGAGAGAAAGTAATACACAGTTCTTTCTTTGAGTCCGAGTTCCTTCATACTTAGCATCTCGATATTCCGCTAAGTTTGAGAGTAGGCTGACTAGCAACTTAGTGAAGAAGTTCGCTAGGCCGCACGGTTCGTTGGAATTACGACCAAGTCCGTGACATATTTCACTTACAAAATATTTTACCTTTTTTGGCTAATGAATTATGAATGTTTTAAAAGCATTCTACACATTACATTAATAAGCTTGTGCCTCCGCCTTCTTTTCTCTAATTAAAACCCCCCAAGTATTTTTTTTGTTTTCTTTGCATCATAAAGTGATTGAAAGAGTCATTTTGCACGCCAAGAATAAAGGACCCATTGTTTTGAAATATGAAGTTGGGAAAAAAATGTACACATCTGTCCAAAATTAAATTACCTATTTACTATTCACAATGTCAAACTTCATTTACTTTTTTTATTTTAGTTAGTCATTTAATAAAATTATATAGTCTTGTCATCACTCGTTTTGTAAACTTTTTTATGTTGTTTTTAAATATGTAATATTTATTTTAAAATTCTATACCATTTTTTATATAAAATAACTTAAAAATAACTTTAGTAAAATATCGTAAACCAAAACAGGTGATTTAAATTGGAACGGAGGGAGTAACAAATATGAAATTCTAGCAATATTTATGTGGATAATGCCTCAGAGTTTATAAATAAAAAAGTAAAATGCAAAATGAAATAGTGTGGATCTCGCAATGTGGTTGCAATGGAAACTTGTATTTATAATGTGCAAAATAGTTGGGATGTGCAATAGAGAGTACTTTGCATGGAAATTTAAAGATTTGAACATCTTGTTAAAGCTATTAATTATTTAATGTGCCGGCCTATATAGATATTTATTAGTTCAAGCTGTAAAAAGCAAAGTCTAGTCGCCTAAACACATCCGTATGCCAAAGTCATAATTCTTCACACTCTTCCATGAAGATGCCCGTGTATTTAATCCATTCTAGTCAATACCTATTATCCAATATTCCAATACCTTTTTCACCCATGAAAGGACGGAGTACATAACTTAGCTGGTTACACTAAAATCACAATGTTAGTATGATACCAAGGGAGCATTTCCAGAGAAAAAACACTAGTGCATATATAACTTACAATTCAACCGTGAATATACATATAACATATCATTAGAGTGTAAAACCTAACCCTTCATACAAATATAAGATTGAGTAGGTTCTATGACTTATCAAATTGAAGTGTCTATTAAATACTCAAATTTTTTTAAAAATTGATCATTTCAATTCAATTGTAAAATATGTCTCTCATATTCTGCGAATAAAGATTATGTTTTACTCTTATTTTAAGTATTTTTTCTTGATTTGTACTCCCACCACTCAAAATTAATCTCTTCATATTTTTTTCCCTATACTTTAAGAAAATGTGAGAGAAAAGAAAATTAATAGAAATCACTTACGGAGTATTTTATTTAGGAATGAAAAATTTATTTGACATAACACAAAAAAAAGAAAAGAAAAAAAAGAAAAGAAAGACAACAAAATTGGAAGATTAATTTGATAGGAAGGCAGTACTCCGTGTTGAGAGTTGCGACTTCAGAACTTCCCTGATTTGTTCAGTCTTCCGTCTGGATGAGAGCAGAGGAGATACCAAAATTAGTGCGGTAGTTCTTCCCTTTTGAAAGAATTTCTTGACAGATATCACCATGGCTGAAGAGGAAAGAGTCTCAAACGAGCTAGTAGTATCCGACCCGAATCCCTGCCCTATTTGCCTAGGACCTGCGATCGAGGAATCATACTTGGATCAATGCTTCCGTACGTATCATCTCCGTTCTCTCATACGGATATTTATACTCCCTTTATGTTAACATAATTTTATCAGTCGCAAGGTTGCGTGAATGTTTTATGCGTTGAGACTTCTAAACGAATCAGTTGAAAAATAGAATTAGTTGATGGTAAATGGAAGCATTTTATCATTACAAACAAATATATTTCATACCGATTTCCTTCCTGATTTTTCTACGGGTTTTGGCGATCCTTTCTAATAGCTTTGTTAGAAAGTATGGATTTTCCATACACAGATACTTCCTAAAATTGTTCTACAAATTTTCTGTTAGCCGGAACCATTGAAGTATGTTCGTTAGGTGGATTCATTTAGAAATGTGTCAAAGTAAGTTGAGGAACTGATAAATTGTTTGCTGATTAGGTTTATTAGCATTTTATGTTTTAATTTATAATGTATACTGGTCTATATTTATTAGTAACTTTTACCCTCCCCCACCCTCCATATAAACTTTCTCGGTATGCCAGTGCTTACATACAGGTGTTGAACTCTAATACTCCGTATTTACAACCCTCCGGACACCCTATGCCAATCCTAAACCATGCAAGTGGTGTCTTGTGCACTTGAACTGAATTATCTTGGTCATTTTCCTGGAATATTATATTGACATGTAGAAAAAGACTTTATCCCGTCAAGGGCATAACGAGCCAAGTTTTGTATTTTTCGTCCACTCGTCTGTTAAATTTGTATCTTGCATCATTTCTACTTGGAAATATTTTTCGGGGTCCCTGTTTTTTTTCCGCCGGTTTATGGAAGTGATTTACTGAATGGCCGGATATTAAAATGTGATAATAAGAGCAATAGTGTGATACATCAGTTTCTAGTGTGACTATATTGATGTTTTGCAGATAAGTTTTGCTACAACTGCATTCAGCGTTGGACAAATGTGGCTGCTAGCAAGGACTCTTGTCGGCCTGCTTCGGTAAAGTGCCCTATATGTAAGGTCTGGATCTGCTTAGCTGTTTAATTTTTTTTTGTTGAGTATAGGTTTGCAATTTCCTAGATGGACCTAGCTTTCTGCAGAGAGTAGTGCTGTGGTGGGCAACATTTTGGGTCTATCAAAACGAAATCAGAGTCATTATGTTAGGAGATGAGTTATAGTTTTTTAACAGTGTACTGTATTCCTAAGGTTCAGTTATTCTTAAGATTCTGGAACTGTATTAAACATGGGTATCTAATTCCTGTTTTGCAAGCTTATGAGCTTCAAATGGTTTCCTATTCCTGCACGTGGCTGTAGGATAACATAACATGCCCAACAACCCCTCCGGACAAGAATTCTCTTCTACTTTCTTCCTTTCTATTTGGAGCTGTATTATTTTTTATCTTAAATAATACCTTTTTTACTCGGTTTTGATCTTCACTTGAATAGCATGTTTTCTATTCTGATTTCATTATTATCCATTTGTAATAGGAGTATGTGCAATGTTGCATGGTACTGATTTTGAAATTGCTGTGAGATTAACAGTCTCGTCGCTAATATGCAGGCACAAAATTTTTCAATCATACATGGATATGATGGATTTTCTTTTCAAAGGTATTATCTTGGTCAGGATCGTGGGAATAGGTAGTAAGGTCTTCTCTATTTCCCATTAAATGAGTTATTATTTTTTATCATCTGCGCTTTGGGTTTGGGGTATGATGGAATAAAGCCAAATGGCTCATTAAATCGTATGTGCTTCTTTTAGTGAAGTAGCAATTAATCAATGCAACTTTTGACGCTCATCATGGGTCATCTGAAACAGCCGCTCCTTGTATTAAACATAGGGGCCAAGCTGCGTACATCCGAGCCCGCCTTACCCCGCATTGGGCGGGAGCCTTTGAGGCAGTGGGGTAATGAGGTTGTTCTTTTTGTTGTTCGAAAATTATATCTGTGTTTGTTTTGGAAGTACAACTCGAAACACCCTTGGGGCCGAGGCGAGTTAACCACAGTGATAGCTAAACCCGACTAAACCCTTTATTTTTAAACCCCAAATGAAATCTCTTTAAAAAATCCCATCCCCTTTCTTCCTCTGGGGATTGATCTCAGGTGTGCCTGTGAACTCCCAATTTGGCATCTCACTCCATGTGTTTGATTTCCCTTTGGCATGAGATCAGAGCATTTTTCACAAGATCTCACAAGTACAGATTACAATGCTATTACACTGAATCAGGTATGTATCTGCTTGTAATTTGTTACTCTTTCGGTCCCAAAAAAAGAGCCTGCTTTTAAAAGTCAACTTTTGTTTTTAAGTAAAATTCCTGCAAGCTAAGCAGTATTAGTTTGTTATGAATGAGGTGATGTTCTCTTCACCCCGTTCCTTTTTTTTGCTTATTATGTATCCAGATCATTCAGAAACACTTAGACCAATGTAGAGACATTTAGACTGGACTAGCAAGATCGAGATCAAGCTTTCAGACTAAGCTAGAAGGATTCAGACTAGGTGTTATATTTCAGACAAAAAAACTAGACAAGATAAAAAAACATCCGGAGCATACCAGACCAGATGACAAAGATTCAAACCAAACCAGCCCAAACTAGAAACATTCATCTGATCACATTTTTCTCAAGTGAAGAGGAGTCCTAAGTGCAAATTCATAAGTTCTGTACTTTTGTTAAGCTGACTGAAAACAAATAGTTTTACTTTCTTCAAACAAAGCTCATTTATTTCGGTAGGAGGGAGTATAACACAATATGTTCCCATTTATTTTTTTCTAACCAGATTCACATCTATCTTATATGAATTATGTGTTGCACAGGTGCTTTAGCTGACAAATTGAAGGTAATGCGATATTGGAAGTTGCACAAGTATCGCCAACCTGCTCTTCAGCTTTACAATTGGCTGACAAGAGAAGTCCAAGCATTAACACAGGTCATTATGTTTAAACCTCTATCGAATCCAACCTGCTCTTCGCACTTTTTTAATTAGAGAGAAAGTTATAGAGTAAGCGGATTCAGTTATTTAATTAAGGGACGGATGAAAATGATAACTGTGAATTTTTTTAGGGAAAGATGAAAATGAAAAGTGTGAATTTAATCTAGGGACGGATGAAGTAATAATTAAATAATCCGAGCTAGTGCAAGGTTATAGAGTAAGTGGATTTAGTTATTCCTCTTAGTGGGAGGTTATGAAGTAAATTATTGCTACTAATGGGAAGTAGACTTGTACAAACATGAGCCATGCTACAAACGCACCAAGGTTGACACCATTAGTGTCTCATAGACTTAATTTCTCACCGACAATTACTATCCGGGCAAAATATAACCTATGGTGTACAGTCATACTTGGTTCCGTTGGTTGGTTTCTAGCATTTTTGTATAAATATACCTCTGGTCACATGGAATGGAGTACTGGAAGATTCCCCAGTCTAACCTTCATAAGGGCTTCTGTTAGTTTTTTTTCTTAATTCTTAATTTCTAAATCTTGTTACACTGAAACTGATCTCTATCACCCTCATAAGTCATAACAAAGTAGGTTCTATTGGTAAATGGTACTCCTTCCGCCCCATATTAAGGTGCCATATTAATGAGCAAACAGATTAGGAAAGTAAAAGAGAGTGGTGAAGATTTAGTTGGAAAGGTAACAGACTACCACCTACTTAATTGTTAAAAAGCAATATGAACTTTATTTTGGGGCTTCCAAACGTTAGTTAGTACCTTGAAAGTGGAACTTTTGCTTTTTAATCACTTCATCTATCCCTTAATAAACTTCATATGTCAATTTACAATGTTTGGCTGAAGTTATTTTAAATTTAATTTATTTAAATATTGATTTAAAATTTAAAAATAAGATTTACATATTCCGTATTTAAAAACTACTCTCTTTGTCCTTCAAAAACTTTCTAGTTTGACTGTCATGGAGTTTTTAAAAAGTGTTTAACGAAAGCGTGGTTAGAATTTGTTGAGATGAAAGAGAAATTTTATAAGTCATATGTTCATTTTTTCTGAAAAAAAAATATAGGAAGTTTTTTTGGAACATTCAAAAAAGGAAAATAGGAAGCTTTTTGTGGATGCAAGGAGTACATTAATAGTTCTACTAAATGAAATAAGTAGTGATAGAACTATTATTTTATTGTAACAAATCATTCAGTTAAATAAGTCCAAGTGATATAGTTTGACCCTGCGAAAAGATGATAGTCTGGAAATCTATTTCCAACGAGACTCTTTACAAAAAGAAAGGGGAATGCAACCTAGAAATCCAATTTTCCAGACCGGCATTGCTCACCCCGTTTTGGTCATTAGCCAAACCCAGCTAGAATGCTTTTTACTCCCTGTCCTCATCGATCAGTGACCATAATAGTGACATACTGACATTTATGCCACTAAATATTGATATCATGAAGTGAGTTGAATATCTAATTGTCCTTTCAGTTTTGCATGGTTAGGGCTTGTTCTCTTAATCTTACCTGATTGGTTTTGATCTAATTCGATTAAGTTCTGATCTGATCTAATTGTAGTGATATTTAAAGCTGTTTCTGATCCGATCTGATTTCAATAAAAATAAGTAATAAGAATAAGTTGAAGAAAACAAGCTCTTAGTTGTGAATATATCATTGCAAAATAAAGGTTGCTGGACGGCATTATTCATCGACTCTGACAGTACCTGATATTTCACCGTGAGTTATGTCTTTTGACTTTTTTCTAATCTTTCCATTTACTTCATACTTCAGGAAGAAGATGTTGATATAATTGTGCATCACTTATATGGTGTTATTGAATCCTTCAAGAGGTATTGTATGTGATGAAAATTTCCATCTAAAGTAGCCTGATTGTCAATTGTCATGAAAGTTAATGTTGTGCCACTTACATTTTCCCATTATTTTAATTAGAAAACCAAATAATATGATGTATTCCAAGAAGTTGGTGTCTCCCATATTAGCTGCAGTTTGATCTATGTGTTTATACTGCAGAAACAAGGAGACCCATATTCAAAGGACCCCGGAAGCAAATCGGCAAGAATTCAAAGTTTTGGTGTCTGAAGCAGCGATGCCTTTCCTGACGGGTAGAACAGATCGTTTTGTCGATGAGCTGGAACTGTTTCTAGCCTCGGAGTTGACAATCGGTGCATTTGACCAAGTTTATGTCCAGCATTTGGGCTGGCAACATCTTGGAATAACTGAAGATGCAGAGGTAGGTGAAGTTGAAAGTTACTCAACTCCAAACTTGTTTTTCTTTGATGTGGACTGTGATGAAAATGGATAAACTTACAAAAAAAACTTACTCCCTCCGTCCCCAAAAAGATTACCAGAATTTGAATTTTTTTGGCAAAGTATCAAACCGTGTAACCCTTTAGTGTGAATCTAGAACAGCAACAACAAAATAGTGTACATTCCTAGCTCTGCATGGGTTTGTAGGGGCATGAGGTATGTTGCATTTCCCCAGTAAAAAAATAAAAGGGTGTTTCTATTAGATTCTTGATGCATTGTTGCATTTATTTGTAGAAACTTCATAGAAAATTAGATGCAAATAGAAGTTTAATTATAAAATATTGTCAATAATGACTCTTAGTAGTAATGAACTTAACATTTGTCTTACTCTTGAGTGTAGAGAAAAAATAGGGATATAATGGGTACATTCATAAAAGTTTTTTGCCGAAAAGTGAGAAAAAAAGCAGATGCTATTTAGAATTCCAAATCAGTGTATTATTATAAGTGATCTCCTGAATGGAACTCCCCTTATTTTCTACACATAATCACCACAAAGGGTTATTTGCCATCTCATATTATATTTTTGACACACAGAAACCACTAAGGCCCCTTTTTTTCAGCACGCCACACTAACACAGACCGACACACATAAATACACAGGACACAACATGTATAGATAGATAGATATATAGCTACACAAGAACTCCCTTAGCCATTAACAACCGTCCCCCCTGCAAAGAAGCCAAGAAACCAACACCAAATAAGCTCACAATAATATGTAGAGCAGAACACATACATCATATAGATAGATAGATGAGTATGAACAAATTATTACCATTGGGATGGAGGACTTGGCCGGTCATGTAGGACGATTCGGGGCTAGACGCGAGGAAAACGTAGGAAGGGGCGACCTCGATGGGGTGGCCCGCCCTCTGCATGGGCACCTCCTTCCCAAACTCCACGCACTCTTGTTCAGTGAAGGAGGCCGGGATGAGCGGCGTCCAAATGGGGCCTGGGGCGACCGCGTTCACCCGTATCCCCTTGCTCACCAGCTGCAGCGCAAGCCCTCTCGTGAATGCCACAATCGCCCCCTTCGTCGAGCAATAGTCTATCAGCTTTGGACTCCCCTTGTACGCCGTCACTGAGGTTGTGTTGATTATTGCACTCCCTTCCTTCATGTGCTCCAATGCATGTCTGAAATTACAATAATTTTTCCATACATATATAGCTTTGTTATTAAAAGATACTCCGTGTGTGTGTGCATGTATATATATCTATGTAGGGGCCGGTTCACGTGAGAATGCACATTGGTGAAAGAAATAAGAATAAAATCTAGCCTATGGATCTGATGTATCGTGCGGCTCAGATTGCATTCTGCACTCAGATTTTGAGATAATGAATTTTCAAAGGATTTTGGTGCATTTCGACATGATGCATTTTCAAACCATTTTGGTGCACCTAATTTTGATGCAATCCTGACCCTTAGATCTCACAATCTAAAGCACCAAATTCATTCTTATTTCTTTCATAAGATCGCATTCTCACTAGAACCAAAATCTATGTATGTATATATATATGCATTCGCTTACTTGGCGAGAAAGATTTGGGAAAAAATATTAGTTCGAAAAACGCGCAAAAGCCGAGGCTCATCGATCTCCTGGATCGACCCCTCACATTGCTCTCCTGCATTGTTGACGAGAACGTCAATCCTCCCGTACGCATTCACCACGGACTCAATGACCTTCTTGCAGTTCTCCTCGAACCCCAAGTCGGTCGGTATGGCCATGGGGTCACTCGCGCCGTTGCACTTTGCTTGCTTTATGATCTCAAGGGTGTCCCTTGCGTCCTTGTCCTCTTGCGGCTTCACGTAGGTGAATGCCACCGTGGCGCCCTCTAAGGCAAAGCAGTGGCAAACCGCTCGCCCGATGCCGGAATCTCCTCCGGTCACCAATGCTATCTTACCCTGCATCAACGCTAAAAGGCTACTAAAATGGAACAATGGTAATAATTTTGCCTTGATTGTCTTCAAAAAAGGGGTCTAGGGGAGGTGCATGGTGTAATAAAATTTTGGCACAATTTCTATTCGTTTTTAATTTAAATACTACTCGTTTTTTCCCCCAAAACTAAACTTATTAATGTACATACTGCCTTTCATTCCACATTTACTAATTAACCCACAAAAATTGAGTTGAAGTTAAGTTAGGTTGAATCAAATTAGTCCTCTCAACTAAAAAAAATGTAAATCAAATTAATTGGAACTAAGTTTTACTTCCTCCGTCCCATAAAGTGTTACCCATTTTGACTAAATTTGAAATTAAGGGAAGGATAATTTTGTGTTGACTTTCCAAAAATACCCTTGATGTGATGGGTAAAAGTAGGATGTGATGTGTAGATTATTAGGAAAAAGGTATGATGTGATAGGTAGGGTTTGAAAAAGTAAGAGATAAAAGTGGTTTTTTAATAGAAATGGGTAAAGGATTGTGGGACACAATTTTTTTGAAACGTGTAAATCTTTTTGGGACGGAGGGAGTATCTCTTAAAATTCTGAGTTAGCACATTAATTGACACCAAAGCAATAATGACCCCTTGTACTCCCTCCGTCTCATAAAGATAGGAACGGTTTGACTAAAGTGATAAAATAAGGAGTCAAATATACTCTTGAAGTGATGGGTAAAAGTAGAAGATGTGATGTGTAAATTATTAGAAAAAAGTTATAATAGTGATATGTAAGGTATAAAAAAGTAAGGGGTATTAATGGTTTTTTAAATAGAAATGAGAATGACACAATTTTTTTGAAACGAGAATGACTTTATGGGACGGAGAGAGTATTAATTAAGGTGTCGACGTGATAACTTAAAATTTTAAGGGATAATAAATTTCGTACAAATGACTAATTTTATTCACATTTTCAAACTATACCCACAAATTTAAGTCAGCCGAACTTAATTTCACGGACCATAAATTGACTCTGAGTTCAATTACAAAGTTTAAAACAAGTACCAACTCAAGACGAATTGAAATTTTATAGCGGAGAGAAAATATTTGAAGGCAAATCGTGATTTTCTTTATATATATATATATATATATATATATATATATATATATATATATATATATATATATATATATATATATATATATATGTATATACCCCGTATAAAAAAAAAGAGGAATATGAAATCTATTCCATAAATAAGGTAATAAAAAAACATAAATTCAAAGAAATAACCCGGGAAATATATATATATAATACCTGAAGGCGGTTGGAAGGCATATAACGTTGAGAAGAAAAGCGAGGAGTGGGGTCCATGATGTGCTCTTTCCCGGGTTGAGAGTTCTGCTTTTGTGGAGGGAATTGGTTGCCGTCGGAAGCCATGGCGATCGATCCACCGACGACCGTTAAGTACTCTACGGCGGCGAGACTCTTAATACTCCGTATATATATGAATATCTGATTAGTTCGTTAAGGGTTGGATAAGCGACTGTGACGGAGAAAGGCGAACACATAAATTAATAATACGGAGTACGTGAAGCTAGCGGCGAGAAGTACGTGGCAGGAGGAGGAATGAAGAAGCATATATAAATATATTTACATGTACAGACAGGTACGTACGTGTGGCCTGAGGCCACTATGTCCACGTCTACCATCAAACAAACTCCGATCCCTTTCTCACAAATTGATCCTAGTTAGCGATCCGATCCCCATACGGTCAACCTATATCGATACATATGCCTCTCCTAGCTTATTCGCCTACTAGTTTTTTAATCCGTTGCACGGACACTATTTTGAATCAACGAAAAAAATAATAAAAAAATAAATTTATAGTGTACATAAAGACAACACAACGAAATTGTATTCAATATAAACATTAAAAGTATTATTGTTGGGAAATTGATTAAATAATCAAAAGAAACAAAAAAAGAAAGAAATCAAAGGAAGATACACGCATGTCATGATATCCTAAGTTGCATGCATGTGTGGATTTTTTGATGGAAGAAAATCAAATTTGTTTTGGACTTTTGTGTTGGTGGTCATTTGCATTAGTATTTCTCTTGGCTTTAAAAAGCCATGGTTTTCTTAATGCAAGTGCGTGTGTGGGTTTTACACACCACCAATGTAGAAAGAGAAGCATGAGAAGAATTCTACACAAGAATACCACCGGGAAAATCCAAGGGGTTTTGGTGAGTGTGGGTGAGTGTAGGGAGTAACTGGTTTTAGTTACTCGGAAAAATACATCCGGTCATAGGATGTGGAAAGATCTGTTTATAAGTGTCTGGAATTTAGCCTTGTAAACAGGAGGGAGTTTTTTGTATATTGTCCTGAAAAAGTGGAAATATAATTTTTTCTCTCATATATTTTTCTTGTGTTTGTTCTCTCACTTTTCTCGTGTTCTCAATATTTTTCAGTATCTTACGCGCTTAAAATCCCAACAATTGGTATCAGAGCTTGGTTACGCTGGGCAGCAGGGATTTGTAAGCGGTAAAAGGAAAAATTTTGAGAACCCAGTGAGTGGTCGGTTTTGGCCAGAAGGTGACCATGGGACTTCAAGAACAAAGTGAATGGCATGAAGGCCGGGTACGAAGCGGCATGCTGTCTTTGTGAAGTATGGTGCGGGAACAAGACTTGAGGAGATCGGTGGTCTAGCAGAGTGGAAAACTGCGGTTTATGTCTTGTGTTGAAAGTCTTCCCGGCAAGAAGAGGTCGGGCGGCGTGTTCCGCAGGTGTTGCTGCGGCGGTGCAAGATGGGCAGATTAAAAGAAGCTAATTGCTAGAGGGGTGGTCTCAGAGAGTGTTAACAAAGGTGAGTTGCCATTTTTTTTTGCTCAGGGTGAAGGGTTAAAACTCTAAGGAGCTAAGGTAGTGGCGGTGATCCTGACGGGTTGGTTGAGATGGAGCCACGGGTACAATGATAACTGGAAATGGTGAGGACCTTGTCGTATTGAGCAAGGTGAGGCCACGACCATGAGTCAACACATGGTGGCAGAGAGCTTGCGGTATTGAGCAAGATAGGTCATGAAAATTTTATCAAGGTGGTAGTGATCTTGGTGGATGGACCAAGGTGGAGCCATGGGGATTTTTTTTTCTTCTTTGAGGTTGGTAGCGGTGATCTCGGTGGAGCACACTGATATGGTGCCAAGAATAATTTTTTTTTCCGGAGTAGCGGTGATCTCACCAGAGAAGTGAGGTGGAGCTACAAAGTTTTTTTTGATTATTTAATCAAGGTGGAGTTTGTTGGGAAATTGATTAAATAATCAAAAGAAACAAAAAAAGGAAAGAAATCAAAGGAAGATACACGCATGTCATGATATTCTAAGTTGCATGCATGTGTGGATTTTTTGATGGAAGAAAATCAAATTTGTTTTGGACTTTTGTGTTGGTGGCCATTTGCATCAGTATTTCTCTTGGCTTTAAAAAGCCATGGTTTTCTTAATGCAAGTGCATGTGTGGGTTTTACACACCACCAATGTAGAAAGAGAAGCATGAGAAGAATTCTACACAAGAATACCACCGGGAAAATCCAAGGGGTTTTGGTGAGTGTGGGTGAGTGTAGGGAGTAACTAGTTTTAGTTATTCGTAAAAATACATCCGGTCATAGGATGTGGAAAGATTTGTTTATAAGTGTCTAGAATTTAGCCTTGTAAACAGGAGAGAGTTTTTTGTATATTGTCCTGAAAAAGTGGAAATATAATTTTTTTCTCTCATATATTTTTCTTGTGTTTGTTCTCTCATTTTTCTGGTGTTCTCAATATTTTTCGGTATCTTACGCGCTTAAAATCCCAACAATTATATACTAATATTAAGGAATGCATAGTGAAGATAAAAAAAATGAAATTAAAGGTTTTGAAAACTTCCTTGTACACTATTTCTAAATCAAGTTAAAATAAATGTTGAACAAAAATAGCGTACAATAACATAATGAATTAAAATGTCAAGTCAAACACAAAGCTTGTGGATGAAATGTGATTTGAATAAACCCTAGAAATGCAGTGTTTCTTTGATGAAAATCTAGAAAGGTTAATTTCATTGATTGAATATGTGGGAGTACATGTCTATATATACACAAGGATTCCTGATCCTATACAATGTAGGAGACAATAATATGAAACAATATATTCCTAATCCTATACAAGGTAGGGGATAATAATAGAAAACAATATATTTACATTAAATATAGAATATATTTAACATGCTTCCGGCTACGTCGGATGAGGAGGGGGTCTGATACCCAGACTGGACTTAAACTCGAGGAAGAGTAGAGAAGGTAGTCCTTTGGTGAAGATGTCAGCATACTGTGAAGAAGAGGGCACGTGAAGGACTCAAATATGGCCGAGTGCGACTTTGTCTCGCACAAAGTGTATGTCGACTTCAACGTGCTTGGTGCGCTGGTGCTGAACTTGGTTTGATGAGAGATAGACGGTGCTGACGTTGTTGTAGAAGACGAGGGTGGCGCGTCGTAGTGGTTGCTGGAGCTCAAGAAGAAGATTTCGGACCCAAGAAGTCTCAGCAACTGCATTTGCCACAACCCGATATTCTGCGTCTGCACTGGAGCGGGAAGTGGTGGCCTGGCATTTTGAAGGCCAGGAAATCAGGTTGTCACCTAGAAAAATACAGTACCCGGAAGTGGAACGTCTGGTGTCGGGACAGCCAGCCCAATCAGCATCAGAATAAGCCTGGAGATAGTCTGTCGAGGAGCGAGTCAGGTAGATACCGTGAGTGGCGGTGCCACTAAGATAACGGAGAACTCTCTTCATGGCCGTGAGGTGAGAGTCGCGGGGCGCATGAAGGTGGAGGCAGAGCTGCTGAATGACATAAGTGATATCAGGTCTGGTGAATATGAGATACTGTAGCGCACCTACGATGGACCTGTAAAGAGAAGGATCTAGAAGTGCCGTGCCGAAGGAGGAAGAAAACTTAGCCTTTGTGTCGACTGGAGTGGATATGGGGCGGCAGGAGACCATCCCTGCCCTCTTAAGGATGTCGTGAGTGAACTGTGTCTGATGGAGGAAAAGGCCCTGAGCAGTGCGATGAACATTTATGCCGAGGAAAAAGTGCAGATCACCCATGTTTGTCATGGCAAACTCAGCCTTGAGTTTCTGAATGAGACTCTGAAGAAGCCCTGGCGAGGAGGCAGTGCGGACGATATCATCAACATATAATAGGAGGTAGGCGGTCCCCGTGGCATGCGTGAAGACGAAGAGAGAGGTGTCAGATTTGCAGCTGCGAAATCCAATAGTCTGAATGAAACCTGCAAATTTGTGATACCATGACTGGGGTGCCTGTTTCAGACCATAAAGAGCTTTCTTGAGCCGGCAGACATGATCAAGGCGATTTGCATCCTGAAATCTTGAGGGCTGGCTAGCATACACGGTTTCCTGAAGCTATCCATGGAGGAAGGCATTTTTGACATCGAGCTGATGGATGGGCCACCCATGAGACAACGCGAGGCTAAGGACGATTCAGACCGTGGCAGGCTTGATGACGGGGCTTAAAGTTTCGTTGTAGTCAACGCCAAAACGCTGATTGAATCCGCAGACCACCCATCGGGCCTTATACCTGGATAACTCACCGGATGGGCCAAATTTGTGTCGGAAGAGCCATTTACCGGTGATTATGTTTTGGTTGGGGGAGGGGGGTACTAATTCCCATGTGTCATTCTTTAACAAAGCATTATATTCATCACACATAGCAGCATGCTAGTTTGGATCTTTCATAGCACTACGGTAAGTTGGGGGTAAAGGGGAGATGGAGGTGGTGGCGTGGAGGTCTAGGATTTGTTTTGGGCAGAAAACACCGGCCTTAGAGCGGGTTTGCATGGGGTG